ACTCACACTCGACAACTCATCCCTCCTTGATCCTTGGCATTCCGAAGATTCTTACTCGAACCGTACACCGCCCCGGTGCTTTCAGTAGTACGGGCCCAATACTACTGTCCACACCATTTCAGTATACACCCCAAATCCTCCTCTTCGAATCCCAATTTCCAAGTACTCTATCACTTTCTAACGGATCTCTCATAAGCTCCTCGTTGCTACCTATTCACTCTCAAGCATCTCATATCAGCTCACTTCTCCCTAGGCTAAGGTATCACAAATCAGGGCACTCTAGTCCTAATAGGAATACCTAGCCTACTCTAGCAAGAGAATACATCATAACAATCTCATAAACATATAATATAAGGGTATTTTGGGAAATCACCGTTCGGGTGCTGACTGATCGTACACACGTTTCTTCTCTGAATTTCTCTAAAAATCTTTTACTTTTAGAAAATTTGGTTCTCTTTTGAAAATATTTTCCAAATCCTCAGTTTGAGTTCAAATACTCCCGAAGGTGTACTCGAATCCCTCAAACCAAGGCTTTGATACCAACTTGTAACACCGTAAATTTCAAAACAAAATTTTTAGATTTTATAAAACATAATTCAGTTAATATTCATAAAGCAACCATGTTTGAAATTCAATCCAAGTAATACAAAAATCCTAAGATCTCATAATCGTAAAATCCCATGCATGTGTACTGATCAAGCCGGTGCCTTCCCACGGTCGTCACTAGTACCTGAAACAAATAACACCAAACACTGTAAGCACAAAGCTTGGTGAGTTCCCCAAAATACCACATATAACACATATTAGCCACTCGAGGCTATAACTCTGTGGGTCCGTGCACCCAAACTCTCTGAACCCTCAGGTTCTAACTCTTTAAACATGCACAACATAAATCACAAAGAATAATGCAGCACAACACATAACACAAATATAGCATACAAGCACTGTATCACATAACTCTAGTTACCTACTCAAGGTAAAGTATAGTGAGAAGACTCACCTCGTGTATCTCGATAGCTCGCAAATCCCTGAACCCACTCGTACTCGATCCCCCGAGCTATAATCCTCCTATAATACAATACATCTTTAACATTTTCACAACTAAGGTTGACTAACCCCACTAAGTCAACATAGGTCAACTCTGGTCAACAGTCAACGGTCAACTTTGACCGGACTCGGCGAGTACATTAGAGCAACTCGGCAAGTCTACACATGTTCGCGAACTCCCTCGGATTCTCTCTTGGCACGTTGAGTACTCCCCTGACTCGACGAGTTCCACCTAGCATGAATCGCGGGGCCAATGCGACTCAACTCGCCGAGTCTCAAAACAACTCGACGAGTTCTAGTTTGACTCAGTCCCCTGTCAACCCTCTCTGACTCTCTCTGACTCACTGAGTTAGCCCCTTAACTCGGCAAGACCACTCGCTGAGTGGTTATGGACAATCTTCATGCTACTCGCTGAGTCTGTTCTTCGGACTCGGTGAGTCTATGCCATGCATGAACTCAAACTCACTCCTGAGGTCAGATCCGTTCCAATAACTCCTAGATCCATTCCTTCCACGCACATTCATCACGTAAAGTCACAATCTTGGTGCTTATGCAAAGGTCCAAAGGCCTTATTTGATGATATGATCTCTAGAATGCTATTCTAAGCTTATGGCCTCCATTAACACTCATAAAGCTTGAGGGAAAAGGGTCTCTAGACCTCTTTGGGTCCAAATCTAAAGTACTAACACAAGAAGAGGCCAATTACTCCATGGATCTCTTCCACAAAGAAACCCTAACTCTAAGATTCACAACAAGGACTGAGAAAGGAACGAATGGATACCTCAAATGATGTCCCTGAGCTCAGAAATCATTGGATTAGCACCTTCTTTGGTCTCCTCTTTCCTTGATCCTCTTCTATATGCAAAAATACCCACAAATAGTCAAGGATCTTCCTCTTCTCTCTCACAAAGTGCTCACAGGGTCTTTAGGGTTCTCTCTAGGGTTGGTGGCCGCAAATGACGGCCATAAACCCCCTTAAATAGGTCGCATTACCCGAAAATTAGGGTTTCATTAAACAGCGTGGACTCGCCGAGTCCACTCCTTGGACTCGCCGAGTCCAGACGCAAACCCGCGTCCAAATCGCAATCCTACTCGGTGAGTTTGAGCTCCAACTCGCCGAGTCCACTCACAATTCTCCAAAAATACAAATATTAATAAATACCTGGAAATTCGGGCTGTTACACCATCGTACCCTGTACCTAATGTTGTCACACCACTATCTGTAGTCCTACCACCAACAACATTGGTAATTCCTAAATTACCCTTGGACTTTTTATTTGGATCCATGTTGAACGGTATGTCAACAGCGAAGTTATTATTAAAGCACAAACAAATACATCAAAACAAACCCATAAAAATTAGACAATCTTGGAAACAATTACCATTTTAGCAGACCTAGGAAAACCCTGATTGGATTTTATTTACTTTAAAACACATATAGTCATGAATACCTAAAAAAATCGTCAAAAGCTCACCTGAATCCCTGAATCAAATTATTCAATCCATTAGTAGGAAGCTGCAAAAATAAAAAAGAAAAATGCATAAAAATGAAGAGATTATTACATTAAAAACTCAGTAACAATGAATAATGATGAAAATAAGTGTGTGTTTGTGTGTTTATTCTTGAGAAGTAAACATCATCAAAAGAGTTTTGCCAGTAATTAGATATCAAAGTCATATAAAAGTTAATCTAACTTGCGTTTCATGACATTAGAGCTTGGATTGAACATCATACCTTCACTAATTTTTCCTTCATAGACTTTGATGAACTATTTCCCCCACATATCAGCTTCATATAAAGCAAAATAACTTCAACAGCAACTGTTCTTCTCTCTTCGTCCTTTTAATCTGCAATATATCAAACTAAATATACAAAACATTAGATTTTGATCATCACAAAAAGAAAAAATTGCACCAGGTATCTTCCTTTTCAAATCATTCGTGTAATCCCTTCTGCAAATAGGTACCATACAACTCCCCTTCTTCCTTCTGCTACATTTATTTACATGTTTGACCTTGGTTGCAAGTGGAAAACTATAAATAGCATCTACTGCGTAAAAGAAAAACAGGAAATCATGAGTGAAGAAATTAGGATCTTTACCTACACATAAATTACCTACATATGTTATGTGTAAGTAAATATCTACACATATTTTACATATGTGTGGGTAATTAAACATATAATTTTTCATATCGGAAGACACTTAATATGTGTAGAGAATCACCAATATTAACGTTTAATTTGGGGGGAAACATTTCCCTCCAACATTTGTAATTTACGAAATGTGAAATTACCCACACATATTAAAAATTACCCTTATGTGTAGGTAATATGCCTACACATATATATAGATTAAATCGATGTGTAGGTGATTCATTTGATATTACCAACACATAATTTTATTTCACACATATGCAGATAAATAAATTAACTAATAATAATATATAATATTTAAATAAATGACGTGGCAAAGTAAATATCAACACATAACATCAATTTATTTATGTGTAGGTAAATTTATTAGACAACTGTTATTATTTTTATTTCATAAATGACATCACTACTAGAAAATAACTTTTACGACGCTCATTGCGCGTCGTAAAAGGCTCAGACGACGCGCAAATCCGTGTCAATGAAGGTCCTGTCATAAAGAGAGACGACGCGCTTTTGCGCGTCATCTATAGACGACGCGCATTTACGACGCTCATTTACGACGCGCAATTACGATGCGCGTTTACGACATGCAATGCGTATCAAGGAACGCCCTGTCATAAAGGAAGGCGACACGCATTCGCGTGTCGTAACCTTACGACGCGCGTGTTAATGACACGCGATGCGTATCAAGAAAGCCTCTGTCAAGAAAGGCCATGTCATAAATGAAGATGACACATATTTTTGCGTATCATAATTTTAAATGTTTAAAAAAAAATTATTTTTCAGATTTACTAATTTTCAAATTAAATTTGTATATAATGTCTCATAATAGAAATAAATATCATATACAAAAAATACAATCCATTGCATAAAATTTAATATCATTCAAATAAAATACCATAAATAACAAAGATAATTCATTTCACTAATATGTCTATTCCAATAGTAAATGTTATAAAAAATGAACTCAAGAGAAGCAGAATTTATATACAATTGCATTATCTAGCTTACTATCTGCCAACAACTCTCCGTGCGTTTGATTTTTGCTTGTGTCTCGTTTCCTCCAAAACTTCTAGATACGTTGTGAGCATGCTATAAAAATTGATTAACATGCAGGTTGTGAGCATTAAAGAAGCTTTTGAGAAAAGTATGAGACAATACAATTGTGAGTTTGCTTTTGTCCTCAACCGTGCTTCCAATCTTCATCTTGTTGAGGTTTGTTTCAGGGAGGGCAAAATATATATTTTTATATTTACATAAAGGAAAAAAGTTTGGATTAGAAAATGACATGTTTACCCTTGTAATAAAAAGTTGTGTTTCAATTTTGGTTCTTATTTTTGAGGTTCTTGTAAAGGTTTTGGTCCTTGAGTATAGCTGATTTTTTCCACTTTGGACCCAAAAATAGTCATTTTCGTTGGAGAAGAGGCCAAATATGCAAAAAGGAAATTGTAGGGACGAAAAGAAAAAAGAAAGCTATATTCAGGGACTAACAATTGTAGTTGGTTCAACTGAAGACTTTGATCCTTCAAAAGGCAAGACTTTAGTTGACCTTATAGTCCTTGTTGTTTCACTTTGTTGTGATTTTGGTCCCTCTTACTCGCACCGTTAGTAAAATGACTATTTTACCCCTAGCCCGTTTCTTATAAACCAACAAAAAGCAAACCATAACTTACTTGTGTAAAAATGCAAGACCCCATATAGCTCTTGATTCAGTTCCCATCAATTCAACTAATCCTTCCCATTCCATACATACATACATACATACATACATACATACATAAGTGAAGAGATTTTTCACTTAAAAGCATATAACCAATTCAGACATTGAAGGTCTAGATGATGGTGGTTGAGTGCACATCAAAGCTATCTTGATGATCTCCACAACATGTTCTACTGCATATTCACTAGGATCTAGTTTCTCATCCATTAAATTCAGATGCGTTCCACTCTCATGTAGATCGCATGCCTATCATACACAAAACAACAGAAAGGCTAGTAAGAACTTCTCACCTAAGCTTAAGGTCTCACTGAATACAAAATAAATCATTGAGTGTTTGAGATACCTTCATCATTAAAACCATAAATGAAAAGAACGGGTTGAATGAACCAACCCTTAATTTTGAGATACTTACATGATCAAGGAGATTTTGAGTGACTAATTGGTAGTCAACATCCTTGTATCTCTTTCCACTAATGATCTCTAGGACCACCACACCAAAGTTGTATGTATCAACTTTCTCAAATAATTGCCCATAAATTGCATATTCAGGTGCTACATAACCACTATTCCTGCAAAGATTTAACATTGGTTATTGAAAATTTACTTTAATCAAATTGAGTTAGTAGTTAAGTTATATGTACTTTTAAACATACAAAGACCCTGAGAATTTTGTGCTAAGATGAGTCTTATCTTCTGGTAGCAGTCTTATAAGCCCAAAATTTGCTATTTTTTGCTTCAATTCTCTATCAAGTAGAATGTTGCTAGTTCTTATATCTGTATGGATAATTGGAACATGGTACTGTTCATGTTGATATGAAAGACCCCTTGCGTCCTGTAAGATAATCTTTCTGGTACCCATATATAAAAGAGCTTGGTCGTCAATGTGGAAAGGGACAGCTAGCTGTTGAATCACCACTCTTTTGGTCTGAATCTGAGCTCAATTATCTACGGGTAGTCCAATAAAGGTATCTATCTGTTCCTATCCTAAGTTTTAAATTTAATAATAGATTCCCCTGTGTTGTTGAATATAACAAACACATTACACATACATCCCTCCCTATCAGGCTGAAGTTGTTGAAAGAGCAGAAGGCATTAGAAAAGAGTATAATGAGCTTGACACTGTCTGGTTCATGGCTGGATCCCTATTTCAGGTTGTTTAGCTTTTTCCTTGGTTCATTTTAGTTATTACTAATGTCTCACCCTATAATCACATCCAAATTCATAATAAAAAATAAATAACTAGAATAAAGAACGTAAAAGAAAAAATTTTATATTATTTATAATCAGCTTCACCATGGCATTAAAATGCATGCTGGGATCTTCTTCCAAACATAATTATTTGGCTTAAATAATGCATACCGACTTTGCTAGAATATATATGGCCAGGAAGGAATGACATAAACTGTTCATAGTCATCACTCAAAGCTTTCATTTCTAAAGCAAACCACACAGAACCTGCAGATGAAGTTAAAAGTTTATAAGACAAAACAAACAGTCTTCCACATAAATTTGAAAAAGTAATTAAAGACTTTGTAGAATTAAAGAAAAACCACAAAAAATTATGTTTGAATTTTAAAAACATCTGGATCAAAAGAACAACACAATTAATTTTAGAATTAGCTTGGGTCCAAATTTGAACATAATAAGTCCTCCATATCTGAAAATAGTAATAATGATATGAGATTTGTAATTATGTATCTTAAAAAGGAAAAGCTATAATCCGAAAAAACAATCACCTTTAATTACTCTTGTACCCATGGCATACGAGTCTAAGAAAGAACCTAGCCTATCAGAATCAGGTACTTGAACAAATCTAGCTTGAATAAAAGTAAAAAAAATAATAATAATAAAAAATAATAAAAAATAACTAGATGAAATAAAAAGTTGAGTGGGAAAAGGGGAACGAGGAGTGATAGAAGTGGGTTTTATTTTTGATTTGCGGGTGTGTTGTGATGACTAATTTAGGGTGCTAAGTATGGTGTTTTTATTTCATACAACAAAATATGAGCATAAATAAGAGCCATAAATGGAAACAAACCAGGAAAGACAAAAATCCAATCAAGGAGCATGCTTTTGTAGACCTATCAGCAAAAGAACAACACAAAAAGTTCTTCATCATGATAGAAATACAAAATACTAATAATGTTAAAAAGGAAAAATGATCATAAGATGTGAAGGAAGATCAAGAAAACAGTCATCGAGATGATGCTTGGACCATTGTATTTGGCACCCAACAAACCTACATAGTCAAAAACACATTAAGGAAGAATTCAAGGCATGATACTATTCAAACTTAAATTATCATATGTAACTGATATGATGCTAAATATCAGTCTAATTGGTTCAACACAAAGACCACATATACTAATCATAGATATCAAAAGTACAAAGTGGAAACATAGGTGCGCTTTTAGAACTGAATTTTTTTTACGTTTGTGGTGTCATTGAGTCGTGTTGTGCGTTTAATCAAACGCAAACATCCTTGTCTAGTTAAAAGATCTGATTACGTAATTGGTATGGGGTCGTCAATACGATGATAGGTAAACTAATTTTTTTGGGAAGAAAGAGAGATGATCATACAAAGGATTAAGATTTAAAAGAGACAATATATTACTAAAGGAGCTGCAAGCAAATGGTTCTTTCTGCAAAGATGGATCAAAATAACACAGCTCCTTTCATCTTTTACCACAACAAGGATTCACAGAAAAGCCAAGGGTGGGAATACATCAGGAATGGCTGGAATTGGATCTGCTCTTATGTTTTCTTAGACCAATCAGAAAGATAGTAAGATAAAAAATGCTTATCATGATGAAAAGACAACAAAGTGGTAATGTCTAAAATGAGAATCTGATCATAATATATAATCAAAGAAAAAGTAAAAGAGTCACCAAGATGTTCATGTATTATATATATATATATATATATATATATATATATATATATATATAGTATTTGGCACCTAGCAAAGACATAGACGAAACTACAACCCACTTCTGGAACATGAAATCAAAGTTGGTCATCATGTAAACAAAGAAAAAGAAAAAAGAATTTAAAGACATGAAAAGATACTAATACTCTGCAAGTGTCAACCATGCATTGTTCTTTCTGAAAAAAGTGCCATGAAAAAATCTGTACAATTATCAAGTCATCCAAACTAGATTATTGAAGAAATTAAAAAAAAAAAAAAAAAAAAAAAAAAAAAAAAAAAAAAAAAAAAACTAAAAATCCTATGGACCCAATAAATCTCCTTCTATCAAAAGGTCTCATGTGAAAGAGAAAGTGGTACGAGGCTTCTACTTACCTTTTACCACACAATAAAATAAAAAGTTTACTAAACAGTTCATGGAAAATTCAGAAACAACAACAAACTAGGAAGGACAAAGATCAATCCATGCAAGAGCATTCTTAGAATGTAAAGCACAAACCTTCAATCAAATCAAGCCTTGTGAGCAAAAAAAGAAAGAAGAATAAAAAACCAAGTTGAGCTTATGTGGCCCTGAAGTTATGTGCTCCTTCAAAAACCATTTGTCAAACCACCTCCTATAATAAATAAAAATACGACATGTTTAATTCCAGTAACAGTAGACATGGTCTACTAACAAAACCTGCAAATAAAAAAAATCAAACCTAGTATAGATTGCAGATCAGTGCAAAAGAAGAGTTGAGGTGTCAAGTTGATATAGGAGAAGAAGACGTCGACTTAGTCAAACCATTTATAGTGTTTCCTATTCATGCCCTAACCTAATTCACCCTAAATTTCAAAGAGATTGATCAAATTCTAGCATAACTATTAACCCAATCGGGCACATGAACTGGTGGATAAAGGAGAAACCGAAGATTGAGAATTCTAAATCTCAAACTAAGATCAAAATCATATGGAAAAAATCTAAAATCATAAAATCATATGGGAAGAAATATATGAAAAGGAATTCTGAAGAAAGAGAAACCAAATATAAACATTACCATAATCAAAAGAGAAACCAGAGGAAGCGACAAATTCTCTCAATCCCTCCTCCGATTTCTTAAACCCGTGCTTCATTGTATCGCCACTGGAGATAGAGACATAGAGGTAAAAGAGGCGTTGCTTTCTTCCTACCAATTTATTCCAACTCATAAGTAGCCTGCGCCGACCATGAATGTGATGTTGCAGTTGTCTGTTAGAGATAGACAGAAAGGAGGGACATGGATGGCGGAAAAGGGTGGCCTGGTGGTTCTAGGGTTTTTATACCAATGGCGGTGTTAGTAACCAACGATGTTGGTGCGAAATAGGGGTGGTGATCTTGTGGTATGTTTTGTCGGTGGTATATTGGGGCTTTATTGAAGACGTTGGTGAACAAGAGAGAAGACGAAGGGTGGTGAGTGGTTGTCGAGCAGGAGAGAGAGAGAGAGAGAGAGAGAGAGAGAGAGAGAGCGAGAGTAAATCAGGAGAAGTTAAGCTTAAAATAAATAAAACCCTAGCACGTCCTAGATAGAAGGAAGATGGCGATGGCTTAGAGTTACACAGTGAATAGAGGGAGAGAATGGAAGGAGATCAAGAGGATAGAGTGGAGAAGCGGGCACTTTAAACTTTTAGAAATTTAGAGATTTCATTTCCCCCCCCTTAAAACGCACGTCTAATAAAAAAATTATAAAGCGACATTTCTAGATGATACACATTTAACATAAGCGCCCTCCGTGTTTGTAGATTTTTTTTGTTGGACATTAATTTTAGGGCACGCCAAAATGCGTGTCTTCTATCCTTCAAATTTTGCAAATCTAACATTATTTTTTAGGGCACGTACAAATGCGCGTCCTCTATCAGCGCATGTCATTGTTTGCGCGTCATTAAAGGGTTGTCTTCTAGTGGTGCATGGTAAATCAAATAGCTACACATATTTTATGTGTAGGTAAATACATTAGACAATTGTTATTATTATTTCATAAATGACATGACAAATCAAATACATACACATATTTTATGTGTAGGTAAATATATTAGACAATTGTTATTATTATTATGTCATAAATAACTAGCAAATAAAATACCTTCACATATTTTATGTGTACCTAAATATATTAGACAAATCAAATACCTACATATATTTTCTATATGTGTTGATATTTCTTAATATTTTTTTATAGAAAAAAACAATTGACATGTGTAGGTAAAATTTTTTAGCAAGAAATTTTTATTTTTTTGAGGGAAATTTCACTTCAAAATTGTTGTGTACGGATCAGCTGCCCATATATTGGACAAAACCACAATTTTTGGACCGAATTATAGTGGCGTGTTGTCCAAAATATGCTATCGTCCGGAACGTCCATTCTAGACGAAGTGGTTATTTTGCTGAAAAATTGGTTATTTTCTTTAAATACACATTAAAATGTTGTTAGATTACGTAATTTCCCGTTTATTAATGTTAATAAAATAAAGAAATATTAAAAAAAATACTTATAAATATCAGTAGTCCGATAAAATAATCTTCATTAATATATTAATATTATATATTCAAAATAGTATTTGTTCATATATAACAACTCAAAAAGAAGAATTAATATAATAAAAAAAATTGAAAAAAGAACTTAACTAAAAAAATTAAGCCAATAAAATTTCAAGAATAATGCCCAAAAAACCAAATAACCTAATTTATTTTAAACTAGGGAAGAACCCCGCTTTGCGGGATTGGATACACCCAAAAACATCAAAGAAGACTGAAATAAATATGGAAACATTGGTTAATTTTAGCTATCGTTGCAATAAATCCAGACAAAGGTTACAATGGTTATATATTGTTATTTAAATAGAATTGAAAACATGAGTAAGTTTAACAGCTTGAATATCTACCAAAAGCTGTGATCGATCCTGCAATTGCGTTTTTC